ATATGTTCATTTTGCTTCATTCTTATGTTTTAGACTATGTTCTAAAGCTATAAGACATCTTGGTAAAATACTCATCAACAATCTCACTTTATATCAACTTATCCTTTCGACATCTATTTCTCCACAATCCCTCTATGATTTTCCTTTTCAAAGCTTGAATATAATCAACTATCTTAGAAATGATATATTCGACTATTTCTCTTTATCTCTCATTGGTTTTTATTCTCCCTTCAATTTCAATACAAAAATACCTAATTTGTGAATTAGATTGTTTATGTTATCTAATCTCTCTTTTTTGGCACTGATTTTTAATTGGGCCGTCGAAAGCTTGTGTCAATTTATTATATTTGTCCACGTTGTTCAAGATCTACTTAAATTTATAAATCGGATTATAATTTCAAGATAGTTATAGGCTTATAGCATCGAGTGCATAGGTCTTCATACAATTGACAGTAGAAATATATGACTTTGGTTTCTTTCTTTCTTTTTTTTTTTTTTTGACAAGAGCAAATGTATTCATAAAATCAGAGTTTACAACCTACAAAACAAGAACTAAAACTTAAAATATGGCTTTTAACACTAAAGCCTTTACAACAACTTTTTAGACTAGAGACGAAAGTAAGCTTGAATTGGCCGGATAATAAGTCGCAGATTAAGGACTTCTTACAAACCAAGAAACAAAAACATACTATACTCCAAGAAGGGAGCAACAGAGGGAGTCGAAACTGTTTGACCATGGCTAGCACTAACTTACTTGGCGGAATCCACTCATCATCAAGTAAGGTCATCAAACGGGTCACTAAAACTAGTGACCTTCCAATCAATAGCTTTACTTGTTGGCAAGAAAGCTTTGACAACGTTGAGGCTCGAGAAACCCCAAAACAAAGTTTGGGCGCCTGCTTCAGATAATAAGGATCAGGAGTAATGACCAGAAAAATCATTACATCCGAGGGAAGAGAAAACAAACTCATACCACTCCAACAACTTACACAATTCACCTTAGCAATAGCCAACTTCTTGTTCAAACCCCCAACAACCGCACCTGTAACCTCTCTTACCACGGTAAACACCCCACTGTCCTTAACAAAGGGGCTTAACTCCCACTGCACACAACCATCCATAATACTATAGCCAAAACAACTAAATAGCCCGGAAAACAACCAAAGGGGGCTAAAACATACCATAACAAAAGCTAAGGCAAGTAAATTCTGATAAAAACTAAGAACATACATACTTAAGAAAGAGAACAAACTCGAGGAAAGCATTGTCCAACCCGACAACCCAAAACCACTTACACAAGGAACCTCGAAACCCCAGCCCTAACTTCACCGTTTCCGTCACTAACTACACTTGACGGCGGCGTTAGACCTAGCCCTCCAGTGCAAGGACCCACGAAACCCTAACCCTAACTTTACCGTTTCCATCACGGTCAAAATTACCGATGACCTTTATGATGGCGGCGTTAGGCCTAGTCCTAGGGTCTTGTTTCACCGGCGGAGAGACCCTTTGAAAGAACACAAACCTTCCACACAAAGGTGCGCAATGGTGACGGAGGAGGACGATCTACACACTTTCCTCAGAACCTTCGAAACTTAGACAAGGCCCTCACCAACACCTCCAACGGATTAAATCCTCAATAAGAAAGAGGAAAATGGAGTGAATAAACCTTCAAAACCAAGAAGGGGAAAGGAAAATAAGAGGGAAGAAAAACAGCAAACTAGCGAAGAAGAAGACAGAGGAGGGGGAAAGATGGCAGGGAGGCCGCGGCGGCTGGAGCACCGGCGGCTCTCTGAGTTTGAGGTCACCTCAGAGCAGGGCGAAAGAGGAGGTGCCGCGAAACCGGAGGACAGCCTTAACACCACGACTAGCACGCTGATTAGAAGAAGGGAAAAGAGGGGGAACCTCGTCGGAGAAACGGCTGCGGTGCCGGATCTCCGGCGAGTCCTAGGTTTCCGGCAGAGATTGGCTTTGGGTGAGGAGAGAGAACAGAGGATTTTGGTGAGGAGAGAGGATTTTTTTGTGACTATAAATTAAAGTGACATTGATTTCTTTCATGGTAGTAACACATACCTTGTCTCCATAAATTTAATTTTAATGTTTTAGATATGTTCATGTTATGATACAATTTTGATACTTAGTAGTAGGCTATGTATTTATGACTTGAATGTAATGAAAATTATCTTTTGTTGTCAATTTTCAAATTGAAAAAGGTTTACTTAACCCCAATTAGATTATTCAGGCCATAATAAGACTAATAATAAAAAGGTCTTACACGCCACAAATAATTGCAACCCAATCTCAACCAGTATCATGTAAAACTAAAAAGGATGTGTCATACTCATACTTGATTGCCTCTAATTTGTTGATTCGTGGTTCTTGTAGTTTGATTCCCTTATTGCCTATCACAGGAGGGGTGCTAGGGGTGAGGATCCAACCCTGGTCACACCGGGGGGAGATGGAGGGACTAACCATCCCTCCACTCCTTGTAGGTATTATGCATCTAAGTATACTCAGAGATACAATAGCACCTAATTAATGAATTAATGATATTTTTTGTTCATTTGACACTTTTGTTTTAATCATTTTGAAATTATAAAATGAACTTAAAATAATCAAGAAGCATTTTCACCTATTATTTATTATTATTGCTATTTTTTCTAAATTTAATTTTAATTATTGTTGCTTAATTAGTGGCCTTTGGTCATGAATAAGTATTCTAATTATTGTATGCATTTTAGAAAAAAACCCTAAAAAATTCTTTGTTCTCTCTTCAAATCTAACCACCATAGTAAAACATAGGGACTGCAATCGATTTTATCGATGGTAAGCCCCAAATTCTTCTTTAATTTTATGTTTTTAGCCAATAAAGATCACCAACAGTATGGTGATTGTAGTCAGTCCCTCCATGTAGGGTTTAGTTGGTTCCTTGATGGTGGGATTTGTAGTATGGGTTGTTTGTTTGTTTTTCGTGTGTGTAAGGATACAAATTTGGAAGATTTGTCTTGCAAATTTGTGAAATTGCGAGTCTGTTGGTATAGGGGTACAGATTTAAAAGATCAGTCTTGTAAATTTGTCGATCTTGAGGACCAATCAAGTTTTATCACTTTCGCGACTATATATCAATGGAGCTCCGTCAAGAACGATGCAAAGACATCTAAAGTTATTCAGGAGCAATTCAGAGGCTATGTCATTAGTTTAGTGGTGTTTAACACTACTTATATTGAGAATTTAAATATCTTAAGGGATGATTGTAAGTGCCGAATGACTATTATTGTTATTTAATAAAATCACCCCTCCCTATTCCATTCAAAAAAAAAACCATTGTCCAATAGTTCACCTGAGATTTCCCCGTGTGTAGTCATGAATTATTTATCCGTTAATTAATGAAATATTCCTCTTTCCCTTCAAAAAAAAAAATCTCTTTTATTGGGAATTAATTTTTCCTCGATTATACTTATACGGAGTATGAACTAATTTTTCAAAAGTGGACTATCTTCATGAACTTGTCAAAATTATACGAGTATGTCCCTTTTTCCACAAAGTGTAATTAAAGATTTATTGGAAAGTATCAACAAATTATTAAAATTACCTTAAAACCCACTATGGTCAATCAATTCTTAATCCAAACTAGGCACAAAATCAAGTATCACAATAAAGTAGTATCTTCAGATTTAATTTATGTTACTAAGTCAAATCCTATCTGATTCGTCATAAGTTAGCATTTTTTTTCTTAATTTTTGTAGTCATAAACAAGAAGTTACTGCAATCCAAAACTGCAAAATAATGACTACCATTTAGTCACACCCACTATCTTCACCACTCTCCCACATTTCTACCCTTCACCACTCTCCCTTCTTTTAGGCTAAATTTCCTCAATTTCTTATATATTTAAACTTTAATTTCATGATTAGTTTGAATAAAATGGTACAAAATCCCTTCAAAAGCCATAAAAAAACCCCATCAAATCCAAATGTTCTTTCACATTCTCGCAGTATTTCTACCATTCCAAACCACCAAAAGAGCATCAGCTTCATGCCAAAGTTTTTCCTAAAGACTCTCCATAGGAGGAAGCCGAGCCACCGTCGTTCCATCTCGGGTTCGAGCAATATTGTTGGCAGCAAATATCTCAAAGATTCTGGTGCCAAGAATGGTGAGATCAAGGTAGAAAAAATCAAGAGGACTAACAAGTTTTTTCAAAAAAAAGATAAACTCATGCAGCTTATACCACCTGTTAAACGAATAACCTCCATGATGTCTATCTTGTTTAGGAACAACACACGACGTGATCAAGATTACCAATGCGAGGATCATGAACCTCGTGAATTGGATAAGCAAGGCTCGGAAAAATCGAGTTTGAAAGAGGTTCCTAGTAGTGCTGCTACCTCAAAAAAATGTAAGTGTGGTGTTGGTGATGTTGCAAGCCTTACAGTAAATAGGGAGAGGACAAGTACGGTGAAATCCGTGAGAAATAAAGGGGAGAAGAAGGTGGAGGCAAAAGGAGGGTTGAAGATCAAAAGGATTATAAAGGTGAAGATAAAAGAACGAGGGAAGGCCGAGAAAAGATTCGAGCTTTGCAAGAAGAAAATACTGATGGGAGAGAAGTGTAAGCCTCTTCATGGTAGCCTTCAGTATGACAAAAATGGTGTTCTGGTTCCTGAAGATTTTGCCTGACAGTAAAAGGTTTAATTCTTCTTAGTGATGGTTAAGGAAAATATAATCCTTAGCTTTGATCTTTCAATTGCATAAAATTAATGGTAATTCATGTTGTTTTCTATGTTTTAACTCTAGTGTTCTCATTATGAAATTGAAGCTGCTGTAATTCATTACAACTCGTCTTAAATTCACAGCTTTGATGCATAATATTTTACAAAAAGATCGCAAACTTTTGGTCTAATAATTAGTCAAGACTAGTGAATGAATTTCAGCATGAAACTGCTAGACAGGTCAGATAAATTAGTGTAGTCTTATGAAACAGCTGAATGCAGATAATTACTCCAGTCTAATAGAATGCAGTCTTTCTCAATAGCATCAAATGTAATGTGTAACACTTTGGGCTGACCGAAAACAGGGTTATACTCTGTACAAATTGATGATAGCCAGTTGAAACAGAAATCATACCGAGTATAAACATTTGAGAAAGGGGTTATACAATCAACCTTTGGAAAGAAAGTATGGATACATACATATATAATCATATGTATCTATAACTTCAATGGTTTCATCCCAAGTTTAGCTCGAAGCTTGTTTGCTTCAGCAATTTCTGGATCAGGATGGTCTGTTCCATCATCCTTCTTCTCCTTCTCCTTCTCTTTCTTCTTCTTCGTCTTCTTTGATTCCTCACGTGCACCATTATCCTCGTCTCCATGCCTTCTGGGGCTGGGACTCCTACCATGCCTCTTACGGTCACCTTCACGGTCCTTGCGATCCTTACTCCTACTCCGGCTTCTTGAGCGGCTCCTCCGCCTACCACGATCCCTGTCACGCCTATCCCTATCACGACCATAATCCTTTTCATCTTTGATACGATAACGATCTCGGTCACGGTCCCTATCTCTGTCCCGATCTCTATCTCGGTCCCTATCCCTATCTCGGTCTCTATCTCGCCCTCTTCCACGTTCTCTATCATAGTCACGATCATAATCACGGTCATAGTCCCTATCCCTAAAGAACAAAAATGAGATATTGTGAGCATCACTGATTTTTTAGGCTGTAACTCATATATTACAGTTGGAGAAGAGATCAAAAAAGTAATATCCTTGTTTACCACACAAATGAGGATGAAAGATACACTTTTAAGTATGTATGACCCATCATACTTCTCAACTGCACACTGCCAATGCAGAGAAACCTGGCAGGATCATCATATTTTACTTTTGGAAGCTGCTCTAAACCTCAGCATGACATTGATTACCATGAAGATACCACAAAGTTTAATTTATTCTACCGAACTGTACGGTTGTGTGTGTGTGTGTGTGATTAGTGTGTAATTAGTGAGTTGTGACTTAAAGTGGGGAGCAGCTTCCGCATGAGTAGTAAAGCACATGTTGTACAATAAGATGATGCATAAAAGAATAGGGAACTCAAGACACAATTTAGTCTTGGGGACACAAATAATCTACATGCAATAATATCAAATGGACAACATAAATTAATATTCCAATATCCATAAAGATGGATACATCAGAGATATTTAATATACTACAGTGAACAGTGAAATAATATTTCCACAAAGCAAATTCAGATGGCTGCAAAGCAAGTGATTTAAAATTGCAGCTAAAACAAGTTGATTGAAAAGACATCATATTGCAGCATCGGACAAGGAATCTTAGCGTGAGTAAATTTACTAATAATAAGATATATTGGAATAACATGACTAGTCTGTCAGAGACAAGACAACTTGAATAATGTCTCAAGTACAAACCTGTATCTGTGACTATCACGCCTCCTATCCCTATCTCTCACAGGACTCCTACCGCGATAATCCTGTTGAACAGTAACAGAAACAACTGAGTAAGAAAAGGAATGAACAAAGTTTCATTTGAACAGATGATTCAGATGAGGAAGAATACTTGAACCTTTTCATGTTCATCAACATCTACATCCATCTCATCTTCTTCCTTTTCTTCCTCCTCTTCAAAATCATCTTCCAGGGCACTTCTTCTGGGTTCCAGAGCACCAATATTCTCAAGATTCCATCTGTTCGTCAGGAACTGATGAGTTAGGTACTATCCTATATAAACCAAAAGACCTCTGAGAATAAAATAGGACATGTGCTAACACAAAGTGCAGAATAAATAGAAACACATACAACAGAAAATAGCAATTTTCTTTCAAGGAATAAAAATGTAATTGATCTAAAGACAAAATGGTTAACGGTGATAATTAAATACATAATAAATTCATATACTCTGGGATAATAGATACAGAATAATTACAAGTTTGAACACTCCCAACAATTTCATAAATTGCAACAAGGACATTATATATTACGAAGTATTTTACAAATTCTGACAAGAAATTCAACTAATTTACACAATTAAATCTGCCAGAAATTAATAGTTGTTTACCTATATCATCTGTTAATCAGCTCAATGTACCCTCTCTTTCAAAAACAAAATCACTATATGTTTAAATTATCTTAATCAAAAGCCCGTGACTATTCACTAATAAGAACCAAGCAAGGCTTGGACTAGTGGAAAGATTTGCATCTACCATGATTGTGTGATCAAATCCAACTAGGAGACTCCATGTTCCCCCACCCCCTACTCCTAAGGGGCCTTGCCTGCTAAACCAAATCAGGTTGACCTATGAGAGGTTTTGGCTTGGTAGGGCCTTCTCCTTACCTCTAAAAAGAATCAATATGAGAGCTGACAGCTTTTGAATTAATTGAATCCCAAAAACACATCTGGACGAGGCTCCACATCACTAGTCATGGGCACTTCAAGAACCAATTAACCCTTATCAAAATGAGTTTCACAGCCTTTCTTCTAGTATGAATTTGTCATTCTTATTACCCATAAGGCCATAAGACATAGAACAATTATTTATTCCTAGTTGTCAAGATTTTAGGCAGTGTATCAGCAACATCATTTGGGCACAAGATTGGGAAATCAATATTAGGTTAACCTAGAATTGATCAAAACAATTACAAGGATTCAATCAGCATCGCATGGACACAAACTAGTACTCCATAAGTCCGTAACATCCTAAAAATTATCAAAACAACAATAATAAATTGACAAAGCCATCCATGTTAAAAATATGCATTCAGCCTTCATTACTCAAAAAGCCTACTATCCATGTTAAAAATATGCACTCAGCCTTCATTACTCAAAAAGAGAACTTAAGGTTGATTGAAGTGGGACTAGTAAAGGTACTACAACAAACCATGAGAAACCACAAAAGAACACAGAGGATCTCTTTACTGTTAAGGACTTCAGGGCTTGTTAACAATACGGGCCAAACTAAACAAGAGCACTTCAAAATCAAAAGGAAGTAAATTTGGCATGTACACAGCTAGCACCAATCATATGTCAGCACGATTAAACAATCGAGTAAATAGAGTGTCACCTTTTCTTAATGCGAGGCATGGCAATGTCACATGAATAGTCTTTAGTCAGAAGCTCGTCTATGAACTCATCCACATGAGTCAACAAGAATTCTGTTGCCAAAGAAATAGATTAGCCAAAACCCTGACTGATAATTTAAGCAGAAAATTAATACGAATATGGACAACAAATAACTTACGCCCATCCGGTTTCTTCATCCTCAGCTTCCGATAATCATTGTACAGAGGCTCTAAGTACAAGTAGATATCGGAATCCGTTCCAGCAAGACGTAAATAGAACGCCCCGAGTATCCTCACATACCTGCATTTACAATAACCACACTTAACATTGAACCATGAAATGAACATATACACATTAACATCACACCCCCTGCATCCATAAATTTTCCCAACCACCCACTTAACCATAAATTAACCCAGAAATTCAGAACACAATTCAAATTTATTGTTGCAACAAAATATCAACCATCACATGCCAACTAAATTCACAGTATAATTCATAATTATGTAAACTATCAGCTCCTTTCAACCTCAAAAAGCACACTTAAATTCTTCAAATTAGCAAAAAACGAATTAAATTAGAGAATCAGGATTTACTTATAATCTTCATTTTTAATAAACTCGACGACGATATCTTTCTCAGGTTGAATTTGGAGCATCTTCATAACAAGACACATGAACGGAGTAGGTTTACGATTACCGCCGTAAGTGCCGCCGATATGGTCGAGCTCCATAGCTTTGTCGACGAGAGTTTCGGCGGTAAGACCGAAGCATTGTTCTTTCCAGTAGGTGTTTTGGTAGATCTTCGTTCGAACTATCTTTTCGACCAAATTCTGTGGATTCGTACCTCTTATGCTCTTCGCTAGTGGGTCCGTACGATTCGCCATTGTTGAATTTTGAAGGTCGATTCGTAAACCCTAACCCTAGATTTGAGCTTAGCTCGGAGACGAGCAAAAGCTTTTCTGGTTTTCTTTTCCTTTTTTTTGGTCTTTCTAACTCTAACCTGGATTCAGTATGAAGAAGGGAGGTGTGATTTACTGGTGTCGGGTTATACAATGATTCGACCCGATTCACTCTTTGGGGTGGTCCAAAATATACTGTGTGTACAAAATATATACTTCGTGTGTATGTACAAAATACTCGCTAAGTTTCTTTGTTTCATATCAATCGCAAGCTTCGTAGCATGGACTTAACACGTAATTTAAGGAAAACTAGTTTTCAGGCCCGAGCGATGACCCGAGTTACCGCATTATTTCCATGATAAAAATCTTTATTTATAATTAATTTTTATTGAATGCTATGTAATATGATAATAGCGTAATGGTTAGCACCTAAGAGTTTAAACTTAAGGTCATGGGTGGAGTCAAGGAGATTAGAGAGCACGTGATTGTTGGAACACAAACTTTTTGAAAAATTGGGTGTACAACTATTGTAAAGTTTGTCCTAATGATCAAAAGTTACCTCGGAATAAATTAATTTCCTCAATGTAAATAAAAGTTGCCCCAATATGTATACTATGTATATCAAAGTTATTTATGTTTAATTGATAAAGTAACCCTCTTTAAGTGAGTAAAATGCAAATTGTAGTAAAAGAAAGTAAATATGTTAGCCTTAACCCTTGTAAAACTTATCCCATTGTCTATTTACTAAGAAGTACGGTAGGAAAAGTTTTCACTTTTCTGTTATCAGTTTTCAAAATTATTATAATTTTACTCCCTCCATGTTTTTTTAAGTGTTATAGTTTGACTTTTTTTACTATTCACATAATTGTTTCAACTTGATTATTTTACTAATCTAAAAAAAACAAATGTTATTGTATAGTACATTGTTGGATTTGTCATAATGTATACTCTCATAATATCAAATTTCCTATAATTTTACTAACATATAATTAGATAAATTAGTGGTCAAAAGTCGTGTCTCGACATACGTGTTTGGTCAAACTGTAATACTTAAAAAAATAGAGGGAGTAACGATTTGGCAATTTTTAACTCAGTAAATGACATATATCTTGAGAAACAAAAAACTAAAAAAAACAGAAAACTACAGCAATATCGAATGGATGTTGATTGGATTTGGCATGAGAGAGAAAAAAAAAATCAAAAGAAAAAAGTTGTACTAAACCTATACAATTTCAACTAGTTTTTGTTAAAAACAAAACAATAATACTTTAGATTTTTGTTTATAGTTTTTTTACAAGTCCAAATTACAGATTATGGTCCAAAACTCCAAATCAGTTGAATGCTGTCCCAGACAACCATAAGGTACATTCGCCTTCAGGAATGAAAGGAACTTTCGCCTTCAGACAGCAAACAATTTCTTTGGCCCAAGATTCACATCACCCCAAGCTAACACAAAAGATATACATGGTTATAATACTGCTTGATTAACGATTCATTCCCTTGCAGAGCAATTGCTCAAAGCATCTGTAAATCTTTCTAGAAATACAATGTCATCAAGACAGAAGAACTCATATACAGTTTTCTAAAATACAGAGGCCCAGTTCAATTTCAATTGGACAAGAGATAATGATACAAGAATGCACCTCTCTAACCAATTCTGTCTAAACATTGTGTGTCTTTATCCTTGCTGAGAAAACATTATCTGAAGATCACAATCCTAGAGTCTACTCACTAAACTGTAGTAAACTAGTACACTAAATAAAGAATTTCAACAATGTACAGACAGGATTTTCTGGAGAGCTTCATCTTTGTATTTGATCAGGAGTGTGGCTGCTTGTAGCAGACGAAGAGGCCGTTCTGCCATTTAGCAACCCATTATCGGCAGGTGGAGACACTCCCCACTTGCCTTCTGACTCGGCTGGCTCTATCACTTTAACGGTTCCATCACTCAACCCTACAGCAATCTGAAAGGGTTCTTGTGGGTGGGCAGCTACCACTAGCGCATAAACAGCTTGGCTCCTAAAACAAGGTAGAGACAGATTAGATGAGACTAATATAAATATAGAATCTACATCACCCACATAACCTTGTGGTCAGCAACTCAAAACAAAGCAGCATTGCATATGTCAACGTCTCAGGTACTTGGTCTTTCTTCACTGAATAATTGAGAAAAATTACACATACCCAAGAAACAGAATAAACTCAAAAGTGCACAACAGGCTAAAACTTCAGGACTTTATTGTGATATGACCCTCTCAAGATAAACAGAAACAATAGTTCAGGTACTAATTAAGAGAATTGTGAAAGTCAGAATTTGATCATATGGATTATATTTTTAACTAAATAATACATTATTGTATCAATATAACGAAATATAATGTTCAACATCACAGATGGTAAAGTCTTTTAACTCACCCATTCAATTGAGCCTGAGAAAGGTATGCTGAAGGGCCCACACGACATCTAAGTTTCAAAGTGTCCGCATCAAATACTCCAATGTTGCCATCACAAAAGGAAGCATAAACTATCATACTATTGCACGAGTATGCTGCATAGGATATCGGTGCAGACAATGCATCCTGGGGGACCCACTGCAATTTAAGAGGCATAGAAGAATCACAACTGATCTTTCATAATCTCAACCTCAAAGCACAATATAGTTAAACCATTCTGTTATACCTGTCTAATGCATTCCATTTTAGAGGCATCATATATTGCTAGCTGGGTTTCATGGAACACTAGCAAACGGGTCTGGTCAGAGTGAAACTGGACTCGTGTATCACCAGTAGCTGCCTTACCAGCTGGAAGTTGTATTGTGACAGTCTTCCTCTTCTCCCAGGTATCAATGCTCCAGACACACAGCTGTAGTCATATATCCACCATTATAATAGTGAAAACGACACTTTATTATGAATTATAGCATACATCAACAGGATCAGGTTAACATATTGTCATCTGAAGCAATTGAACCTCATATAAAGAGAGATTGACCCTCTGAATGCTTCATAAAAACAATAAATAGGTTATTCAAAAAATAAGTAAATACAATTTCAACACTTGGTATTTATTGTACTAGGAATGGAGCAATTTTCTTAGTTATAACAAGTAATCGTTATCCAAACTACCTATAGAGAGCCACTGCCGTCTAATGCCCAAATCGGAAAGGAAAAAACATAAAGAAATAATAATTCTAAGGAACAACTAGACCATACAACCCATGTAAATATTCTTCACTGGTGACCTGGCCACTTCATTTTGTAAACACTCTAGTCTATATCAATATATCATTTCCAAAATTACAAAAGTTTAAACCAAAAGATTTTATTAGCTTCCCAAAAGAGGTCGAATATTGCCTACCTGAGCATCAGCACCAGATGATACCAGGATACCAAGAATGGTTGAAAATGCTAAACCACTTATGCGCTTCACATGACCCTTCAATTTTGATTTAACCTGAAATTAAGAGGTTGAAAAAACCTTAAATAGATGGCATACTAATATAAGAAAACACTATAAAGAAGTTACTTTGCAATTGAAAATTATTACCTCGTCTACTCTAACATTGTATATGTGAATGGTTGAGTCCTCCATTCCAATTGCTATGATGTTGTTGTCTTGGGGATGGAATGCCAAGAAGGTTGAGGCAGGCGGAGGAGGCATGAATGTCGTCATGACCTGAAAATGCAAAATAATTAGTTGGCCATGAAGGCCATAATAAAGCTGAACTATAGAACAGCAGGCATACTTTACATAATCATAAATATAAATACCTTGAATGTCATCATGTTAAACAATGACACCTTTCCACCAGCGGCCGACATTACGTATGAATCATTTTTCGAAAGTGCTATACATGGTACAGCTTCTTCAGCGTTGACACCTGGGACATCATTAGTCATAAGAAGACCGCTGCTTGGTTGCCAATGTTGCGGAACCACACTGGCAGTGGCCTATTGAAAATTGAAACTCAACAATTTTAGCAACAGTTCATTCAAACTATCAAATACATATTTGACGAAAACAGAAACTTCTACTAATCCATTACCTTCCCGCTAGGGTTTTGCTCACTGCGACTCCACTTCCAGATTTTCTGGATACCATTTGAACCAAGCGCCAAAACCCCAATACCATTATTGGTGTAAAGAAGTCGAGCAACCTAGAGGCATGCAACATTCAGATAAGGAAGAGAAATTCTGTGCATAGCATATGATTTTAAAGAGTCAATCAACAAACCTTGCTGAAACTGTCCATGCTTTCTGGTAAAGTCACCAGCTTACACTGGACAGGCTCCACGATTTCAGCCAACTGCCAAGGCTTAATTTTAGTCTCAATTGCGTCTTCGGCCATCCTAGCCTTTTCCATGTTTCCATTCTGAAGAAAAAGGGAATCCAAAACTAAGCTAAAATACAATGATGCAAAGGTACATGAATGAGAAGAAAATCCAGGTACGATGAAATGGGAGGGCTTTCTTTACAAAGGAATGTACAAAGGTTTATTTTTTGTCCAAGGTTTCTCAGACACAATTATGCTCAGTAGAACATGCTACATCAAAACCAACAATTCCAAAAAAAGCACTCACCACAATTGGATAGAAGGTTCATGAATCAATGCAGAGAATTGAGACAAGCACATATGAGAATTAGGAGGACAAGCACAGAAACATACATGGTTAATCTAATATGCTTGGCAAGTTTAGTGATCTTGGCCTTGAGGCATTACAAAAAGAGATCAGAAATATAATAAGATTTAGACAGCTACTAATAATTGCTCCTGAATAAATTTGAATCATTGAAGGTTACCTTGATAGCAGCAGCTTCAATAGGTGTCCTCAACGCTTCAAATTGTGGGGCTTCTACAGTCCTCAATAAACGAAGACCAGCTGCAGTTGCGAGAATTTTGATTCCATTATCTGCAGTGGAAACAGCAAGAAGGTTCCCTTCCTTGTTGAATCTCAGCCGTGGAAGATTCTGAAACGCATTTCAAAACATAACATAAGCAACAGCACTACATCCTACTTGTGGAAAGAGGGGACTTTCCCATGATATATAGACAAATCCAAATATGCTAACCGGAAGCCCTCCCTCTGCATCTGTTTGAGCGAGTACACTGACATTATCCATGTCCCAAAACTTTATCTGATGATCTTCCCCTGCAGCTAGAAAATGATTTTGTGTTGTGTCAAATTGCACAACGCCATTTGATTTCCTTCTAAATCCAGTGTATGTTCTTTTTATTGCCCCTTCACTCTCATTCCACTCAACCAGGAAAGATTCTCCATCTTTACTAGTTCCACATGAAAATAATCTGCAATACAATAAGACAGGTGTAGGTAAAAACATCACATTGCATCAACTCCATGCTATGTCTGAGATACTAAAATTAGGAATCTTATGGACTGAATCCTTCTTACAAGACAATTTTCACAAATTTATCCATACCTAGTTCCATCAGCACTGTAAAGCATTGTAGTACACCAGTGTCCAGGAGCATCATAGTCAACTTTAGACCCAGTATTATCATACAGCCAAGCTTTAATCTTCCCGTCAAATGCAGTTGAAAAAATGAACTGAGAAGGAAAGGAAGCAAATGAGCATAGTATTACAAGAACAGGAAGCAGGATAGTGTCTTCAAGATTTTCAAGATTTAATAAACTACTAATTTACTAACAGGAAGCATGAGCATAGTTCACAGCTCATCATCAATCAGATCAATTCATAATTTACTAATAGAAAAGAAAGTACAGTTTTCGACCCAAACATCATGTCCACTGTATGTATCACAATTATCAATTTCAGGGCTATTGGTTAGATACCTGAATGTTCTCCTTGTGATGAGGGCATATTGAGTAAACAGGTGCTTCATGGCCTTCAAGATTGAATAACTTTCTTCCTGATAAATCCCAAACCTGTTTGATAGAAGCATTAGTAAGAAAGAGTATAAAAACATCATCACCAGCATGTGAAATTGAACCTGAATATTAAAAACCTACTCCATTCTTACGTTAATAATCTTATCATCTCCACATGTTAGGACACAAAGTTGCTTGTTAGGATAAGCAAAAGCTAGATCATTCACCCCACCAACATGGGCATCAATCTGCAAGCATAAGGATATATTGGTCAGGTTTGATGTTCAGAGTTCAACTTAAACAAGCAAGATAATACTTCATTCACCTCCAACTGTTGTCGAAGATCATTTGGTCCAGAATAAGCATATAAATGGATCAAGTGCTTACTAAAGGCAGCTCCTGCAACAATGAAGACCATATATGATGGATACAGGAGCAAAAATTGTAAAAAAAAAAATTTTTAAAAAAAAAAGAAGAAGAAGAAGAAACAGCAGCAGCAGCAAGAAAAAAAAATTACAAAATCAAAAATAAGCTAGCAGACATACCCAGATAATTTCCATCAGGACTCCATGCAACTCGGCTGACTGATATTACATCTTTGACAAAGGCAGCCTGTAAAAACTCACAATCATTAGGCCTATAGACTGGGCTGGTTCAGCTACAAGAGCACGCAGTCACAAGTGTTCTATGTCCAGAAAAAAGTAGTGCACGAGAGAGAGAGAGAGAGAGAGAGAGAGAGAGAGAGAGAGAGAGAGAGAGAGAGATATTAAGAACAAGAAAATTACTACAAGGTGATAGATTAACCTGGAATTGTAAAGAGCATGAAGACATGTCCCAAACTTTGAAAGACTTTGACACCAATTTCTCACGTGACGCAACCTCCCAAAGAGTAATTTCCGCGCTAGATGAACCAACTAATCCAAACATCAAATTTAGCACAAGACATAAAAACAAAGTGCATGTAAGGAACTACAATAGATGAATAGCCTTCATACCAAGCAGCAATGTGGGGTGAGAAGGATGGAAATCCATGCTTGTAACAGTAGAGCCTTGGTGCAAAGTAAAGGCCACCCTTCTTGGGAGGTCATCCACAGACCAAGAAGCTTGTTGGCGGGGTGTTGGATACGTAACCTGAAAAGTAAAACAACAAAGAAAATTCAGTAAGTGCACTGTCAATTAACATACTTAACATTGGAACCAACATGAAAAATTAAGCCCACAACAGAACAGTTACCTCCTCCACAGATTGTGCAGGACGAAGACGTTTCATCAGCTGTTCGTGATCAGGATTCTGATAATCAACCATGCCAAGTGTTGTAGGCGGTGTTCTTGGCCTTTTATGGATTGGGACTACCAAAAAAAAATACATATATAAATAAATAGCTCACGTTAAAAATAAACAATAAAAATTAAAAAATAAAAAGAAGAAATCTACGAAGAAGCTGACATAAGTAAAGAAGAATATTTAGATACAAACGAGTAATTAAGTCTCCTTTTAATGCCATCAGCTTCCCCCCACTATTAAACAAAGCCACCATTAAGCTAAAATAGATGTTAGGGAGTTCCCCAATTACATAAGGTGCCTCCATAGTTGAGAACAATTACACAGGAAGCCTCTTAACCAATTTCACCAGCCTTAATTATAATTACAAGTAAATGTTCACAAACAGCTTATTATGTCAGTACCCACCTTGATTTGGGGGCACAGGAATGGATGATGCAGTCACCACTGCAGCTTGGACAGAAGAGGATGCAGCAGCATTTGCCATCCAACCAGCCAAAGCATTAGCACTAGCTGCAGCAGCTGCGGGTGTAGGCTGGAATGGCTGCAACATAAAATAAGACATCATAATTGAGATTCATAAATTTTTGACAATATTCAGCTAACTTCAAAAAAAAAAAAAAAATAACTAGCAAATGATAGTAGACAACATACACCATGAGCTCCTAGCTGTGTATAAGCAGCAGGCTTTGCAACAGCAGCAACTGGAAGAGTTACAGGAGCAGGTGCAACAGCTCCATTTGGAGGAGTGCACGTATGATCAGTGAACAATGTCTTGATATCAGGGTTTGGTCTGGGATTCTTACAAAGCTGATGCTGCCAATTCAAGCTGCACAAATCAGAGTGTTAAAAAATCAGTAAACATATATACCCAATCTTATTTGATACAACTAATGCAGTCATACATGACAATCAGATACCAAATAGATCAAGTCTTTTTAAGAATATACATGACAATTAGGTGCGCCTATTTGAATACTTCTAGCCTAGAGCAAAAAAACACGCTCTGCCCTAACTCCCTAGTGCCTAGACGCGCCTTAGGTGTGCTTTTCTAAACACTGATCCCTCTAATTTTATATTTTCTTCTACGGTTATGTGGTTCAAGATGATTGAAGTGTCAGGTAAGGAAGACTAAATTAAGAATCAAAGTAACATTGTTTATTAGTATAATATGCTTTTCCTGTTCATGGGGGGTGACTGGTTGAGTGAGAGCGATTTAGATAACACTATTCCTTACCCTAATCTTCTCCATTTATTTTACGTGCTTTTCGTAATTTTCAGCAATTCAAACAAATACACTACCTCACTCATTTATTTAAAAAAAGTAAACAGTAGATTTCTGATTGCCATCCCACAGACATTGGCCTTATCTGAAGTTTGAAGAGACTGAGACATAATAAGTCACTCTAGCAATTGCCGTTTATGACAGAATCCATAAACATAAATATCACCATGAACATAAAACCATCAACAACAAACAAACTGACAGCAGGGACTTTTACCTTTGATTAATTAGTGTACGCAGTCTTGACGATCTCAGAGTCGGGAACACCAGCTTGTCACGGAAAAGCGGGTTTGCTTCTATCAGCTTTTTAAGCTCTGCCAACATTATGTTACGAGCAGTTTTGGTGTCACCATACTTTGAAAGCTGCTCATTTTCCCTGAGGTATCCAAAAATATTCTAAGTACTGTTACAATTTTATAAAAGGCAATCAAAGGAAGACTGCAGATCACATCGCACACTAGAATTATTTTTCATGGTAATCTCCCCATTAGATAAAACATTTGAAATCAGGAGCAAACAAGATTTCCTGCTCCCAACTGACGTGACAAGAACTAAATTATTACCACGTCAACAGGTAACACTAATTTGCCAAATTATTACTACAGCTCTTGTGACCACTCCACTTTGGGAGTTGAGGTCTTGCACGATAGATCCCCCCGGGTGCATGCAATATTTTCTATTCCCAACTGGCATGGTACAAATTTAAAGGATACAAGGATCGATCCTTAAATTATTACCATGTCACCAGGGAGCAATAACTCGATAAACTATTACTACAGCTCTTGTGACCACTCGCTTTGGGGGACAAGGTCTTGCATGATGGATTCCTCCATTAGATAAAACATCTGAAATTAGATACATGTGAAATTCTTCCAACAGACGTGGCAAGAAATTAAAGTATACAGTGGACCACGTCAGGAGCACTAATTTTCAAAAGACCCAACGAGACACCAAGCCAAGAGCATGTATTGGCCCTCTTAAACGTATCGTTACATAAGCCCAGCAACAATTTTCCTAACTAATACAATTTCCTTCTCCCAATTGACATTGAAACAATTCAAAGGATACAAAAAAGATCAATCCTTACATTATTTCCACATCACCGGAGAATACCCTAATGTTCACTAACTAATTTTCCAAAGGCCAAATGAGACAAGTCAAGGGCACAAAACAGTCTATCAGTTGTCCACATGTGCTATATATATATATATCCTATAAAGCATTAAAACGAACGATTGTGGGGTTTGTAAAGTATACCTGAAGTTAGTTAGAGTTAAGAGCTGTGTGATTTCCTTGTAGAGCTCTTCGTTGAATGTCGAAAATACTTTCAAATCACCAACAAGTATCTCAACCGCCTTGGACTTGTCTTGCCTAACAAATTCAAACAAACACCACAATTTTAATACCAATTTCACTCCCCCCATACGATGACAACAAATCAATCAAACTCAACGAAAACAAAACCGAAACCAAACATACCCGTCAAGAGCTTCGAGATACTTCTGCTTCCTAATCTCAAAGAATATCTTCATTGAATATCTGTTGTCATCCACTTTGGTAAAGCCAGACAAGTACTTTTCAACCTCATCCCACTCCCCTGCTTGCACTTTCTCCTCAAAGTATTTCATATTGAAGAAAAATCCTGACTCTTGCTCAAGCCTACCCCCAATCACCAAATTAAAAAATTAAATTAAATTAATTCACAAATTAAATATACAATATAAAATCAGCAAATGAAATTAACATAAAACCATCAACAATTATTCAATCATTCTCATCATAACCCTTACATCACAATAATTCAAAAATTGACCTCCAACGGCTCCCCATTTTTTTTATTTTACCAAAAAAAAAAAAAAAAAAAAAAAAAAAAATCGGATAAATTCTCCGCATGTAATAAAAAAATTAAGAAAATTAAAATTAAAAAAAAACCATAATTTTTTTTTAAAAAAATATTAGGACAGAGAAGTTTTAAAATAATTAATTAAAAATAAATAAAATACCTGTGAACGGACTCCTTGAATTTCTCTTCTTCAAGGAATTGGAGTATAAGAAACACCAATTCCCGGCTTAACGACGACATTTTATCCCCGAAATAATCCAGAAATTCAGATCAAATTAACAGATCAAATTTCTTTAATTTCCCAAAAAATCAAAAACCCCCAAATTCAGATCAGAACCAGAGGGAAAAAATCTAGAGAGAGAAAATTATCCTCAGAGCATGAATGAATTGAGCAGAGAAATAGAAGAGAGAGAAGATTTTAAGCAAATTAAAGTTGGAAATTTCTAGGGTTTATATTTTGGAGGCTCGAAGTTCGAGAATTTCTAGGGTTTCAAAAGCTTGAAAAAGAAGGCTACTCAAAAAATAAATGAAAAAAAATGAGGACTATTTATTTAGAACAAGAGCGGAGGAGAGAGAAAGTAAGATAAAGGTTTTGTGTTTCTCTTTCTACTCTCTCTCTCTTGCTACCTTCGATGCTTTTTTTTTTGCAGAGTGATAAGTACTGTGCTTATATGATAACGTGATTAGTAGAATGTGATAAGTTGACTTGGTTATCATTGCGTGTGATGTCAGAAAAAGTAAACCGGATTCCAAACCACTAACTCAATTAGAGTTGAATATTCGTTGTTAACGTCCATTTTTGACTCCTCTTGTTTCGCGATAAATACGGATTTTTTTGTATATCTCGTGGTATTTTGAGTTGAGTTCAATTTAGCGGGGGAAAGTGATTTTTACGACACTGTTTTTTATTTTTATTTTTTATTTTTTATTTTTTTAAGACGTGAAAATAGTTAAGGTTCAGCGTATCTAATCTGATCCGATTTATTTCCATTTCTGTTGATTTTTTTACTTAATTTACTTGATTTGTTTTCTTTTATATTATCAATGATTAAATTTTCTAAATATATTTATACTCCTCCATTATTACAATAATTTTTTTTGTCCTTATCTTATCTTTATTTACAACTACAATTATGTATAATACCTTGTTTTTAAAAGTTCGTCTCACTTATCCTTCATGCGGTAAAAAATAAATAATTTTAACTACATTTTATGATTTATATACAATAAAAATAAATTAACATCGACTTGTGACTCCCAAAATCTTAATAGACCATGTTTTGGCACAAAAATTGATAATTAATAATTACTAGGTGGTGAAATCTAACTTTATTTAATTTTAGGGGTGGTTATTTAAAATAAACAAAAAAAAAAAAAAAAAAAAATAGGTGGTAAAATTAAATTTTGGTATTTTTGAGAGGTGGTTATGTACTTCAATTTTTCATTTATTTAACTATGACTATACACAATTGTGATTCTCGTGTTTTTTTTTTACTAACTCTCTATCTAACTTCTCGTGATATTTTGTGTTTTCAATTGCGCGTTTAATAGATGTGTATTGTGGATACATTCAAAATCATTCCTCAAATCCGATCCTTTCAGATTATGCAATCTTATCTCATTAATAAGAACTTTTAACGATTCGATTCACACAACACATCAAATAATCAAGATTATCAACACGTGCGATATGATTATAATTTATGTTTTATTGGTAGTTAAAAATATTATTAGTTAAAGTTTTGCATTAACAAATGTGCTTATTAAAATAAGACATCAAAAAAATAAAGGGGTATTCTGTATCTAACTTATGTGAGCAAATAACATAATCAGCATCGATTCGATAAAAAATAATGGAAGAATAAGGCTATGTTTGGTTCACTTGATTTTTCCTAAACTTATTTGTATTTCCGATAAGTCTTATACTCTTATGTGTGGCCAATTGGCCACATTAATTTAGAAGGGTGGTTTTTATCTATATGTATGAAACTATGAATAACCACATTTAAATCTATAAGAGTTGCTCCTTATTTATAAAAGTAACCCAAACTCATTGTGAGTAATCTCATTTGTTCATTTGAGTGACCCATATTCTTTTGTTAACAATTTGTGTTTTTGATTTATATAAACTTAATTTGTTTATTTGCCAGTAGATATGATAAAGGGCCCTGCCGAGCTGAAATCCCTTACGGATCAACCCGACTAGACAAGTTGGGAAAGAGGGGCGAAGATAAGGGAATTGGGAGAGAGGAGCGAAGGTAAGGGAATTCCACCTCCCAATTTGTCATATTTGTTCATGGTTGGAAGGTGCTATCCTTTCCACTAGACAAGACGAACTTGGTAAATTAAAACTTATTTTATTTTATATATATATAATTTTTTTTTTCTTTTGAAATAAAAAAAAGACACAATGAAAGCCCACTATTAGAAATAGGCCTATTTCCGACGGAAATACTCCGATGGACCCGAATTTCTGTCAGAAAATTTTGAATTTTTCGAGGAAATTTAATTCGTCAGAAAATTCCGTCGTAAAAAGAACTTTCCAACGGAATATCCCTCGTAAATTATCCGACGGAATTAATTTCTCTCGGAAATTAATACTTCCAATGGAATATTCCCTCGAAAAATATTTTCCGACGGAATATTTTGTCGGAAATAATGAAAAATATAGCAGGGATTTAGGTATGAAATTTCACGAAATGGAAAGAGAAAGGGGGAAGAGAGAGAACAAAAGAAAGGGAGAATGAGAAAGAGGAAGAGAAAGAGACCGACAACCATCGCCGATTTGCCTCAACCACCGGCCTTACATCGCTGTGATTCCTTGGCCGCCGATCGGGAAGTGTAGTGAATTTTGTTTTATTTTTTTAATTTATTTTCGGTAAATCCTAACCATCACCATCACGTCAACAACCACCACCGATCTTTCGCCGCAACCACCGGCCGTTGACCGCCGTCCCCTTGTGACTCCCAGGCCGCCGCACGGTAAGTAGTTTTGCATTTTTTTTTTTGGGGGGTAAACCCTAGCCACAATACGTCCCCTTTTTCTACCGCTTACCCCGTTCCTCCTTCATCACTGCTACTAAAACCACCACCATCGTGGTCCCAGGACATAGTATTATTTAATTAAAAATAAATAAATTCTAATCTTATTTTCTTTTTTTCCCTTTAGATCTATTTCACGCTTTCTCGCTGTACTCCTTCCTCTCTCTCTCCTCCATTGAAGCGTACTCGAAATTCTCCATTGAAGCGGCTTCTGAGCTCTCTCTCCTCCACTGAAGTAGTCTCTAAGGTTAGATGCTTATTTTTCTATAATCATCTAATATTAATTTTGACAATCTAGTGTTAATCGTGTATTTAATTGTCAGTATATACTCAATTTAGGGTTCTTCGAAGTTGGATAATTGAACTGTTGGTTATAGATACTCGAAGAATTTAACGGAATATTTGGAGTCTAGTTTGATAATTGAGTCAATTTTGGTTGCTAATGTGTTGCAGGGTTTGGTTTGTGTAACTCTTTAATGTCAGGATGAAACCATGAAAATACAAATTCACAAGTTCCGAGGGGTGGGGAAATGGTTTCAGGGGTAGGGATTTCGAGTCTACGGCGGTTTCGGCTCAGGGAAAGGGGTGGGGGTTTCGGGTGGGGAAAGGGATGGGAGTTTAGGGTGGTTTCGGGTTGGGGAATTCAAGTTTTAGGCGGTTTCGTTGGTGGGGCTGGGGCGGGGGGTCTATTGCGCTCATGTGGCTCTGGAAGGAGGGTGGTTTCGGTGGTGGTGCAGGGGGAGGGGGTGGCTGTCGGGGCTGGGCTGGGGAGTGGCTGTCGGGCTGGGTGGGGAATTGTTTAATTAATTTTTTTGATTTTAGGGTTTTTGAATTTTAATTAGATAATTGAATTTATTTTAGATTTTGGGGTTTCATTGTTGTATTATCGAAGTTAATATGTTGGAGTTTAGGGATTTTTGAATTCAAATCAAGTAAGCAATTTAATTTTTAGTTTGAATTTAAATTTTATTTATTTGTAATTTTATGTAATTGAGATTGGATGAAATCAGTTTTTTAGTGGTAATTCGATGAAATTAGGATGAAATCAGTTTTGGGGTTGATGTTCGAGTTGTTATTGTTGGGGTATTGTTTATTTGTTGTTGTTAGAATTGGTGTTCGGATCTTGTTTACTTGTTTGAATTGGTGTACAGTTGGGGATGTTGTTTACTTGTTGTTATTCGAATTGGTGTTGGGTTGTTGTTTACTTGTTGTTCGAATTGGTTGAGGTGTTGTTGCCCTTGTTGGATTGTTGTTGTTCGAATTGTTGTTTGAATTGGTCTTGGTATTGTTGTTGTACTTGGATTGAATTGATTTGTTTGAGTTGGATTGAATTGAATTGTTTGAGTTGGATTAAATTGATAAAAATTGTACTACTTTTGGATTGTAATATAAATTTTTAAGTACTATTTGATTACAACATATATTCATTTGTTCTATTGTACTGTAATATGAATTTTTTAAAAAATTTGGAATAAAATCAATTAAGAACTAGACCTTAAAATTTTTTGGTGACCCTTTTTTTTTTTTTAAAATAAAAACTGACCTCATAAACCCTAATTAAGTTTCTAATTGTAATTATTTGTAGGATTTGTAGATTTTGGTTTAATTGTCAATAAAAAGTGCAGATCTAGAGGTTAGTGACATTATAAACCCTAAAATTCTTAGTTTAGTTTATACATGCATGTTAGTGACTAATTGTATTTAGATATATGTAAGTTTATAATTGTTTTTAGTGTATACATGTTTGTTGTATTTTATGTTTAAAATGTTGAAATATTTGAAATGAATGTGTTGTATTATGATATGTTAGTTTAGTGTGGTTTAGTTTAATGTAATAATATATGTTAGTTTAGTTTAGTTTAATATTATGTATGTTAGTTTATTTAGTTTAATATATTTGTTTTATATAATGTTTAATATAATATTTAATAATTGTTTAATATATTTGTTTAGTTTAGTTTATGTGGTTAGCATTTAATTATCACAAACCTTCTTTGCTGTTCTTGGAGTACATTAAAAGATCATTGTAATGTAACAACCAGATACCAGTATTTGGAAATCTAGAATTTAACCTATCCTCTTTTCTTTGAGACGTTTGGGGTGGAAGAGGGGGTGTACATTGGTGATTGGATGGTATTGGATTAAGATTTAGGAGTTTCATGTGAAGACAGTAATGATACTGATGGAAGGATCTGTTTATGCTAGATGGTGCCACCTTGCTACATTATGTGAAATAGATAAGCTCCCAAATCGTTGACGGAACCTTGATGTCTGAAATATAGGGATATATTACGCTTGCAAATTGTCTATATACAATTTAAGTCGAAAGTTAGCACTTTGTGGGGGTGGTAGCACATGGAATTATGTCTGGCACAGATCATTTTTCTATTTCAAGTCCTCTTCTAGTCTACATTTTCCTCTTTGAAACAAAGGACACTAAGGCTAGAATTAAAGAAGAAAAGTCATTTAATTTCGTTGTCAATCTTTTTTCTTAGGATTTTAATATTCTATTTTTGATCAATTTTGTGTAGTCATTTTGTGTTTCTATAGATCTTTTCTTTCTAGTTTCCTA